TTTGTTTAAATGAAAAAACTGTTAAAACTACATTTAGATCACCTGTGAGTTCTACGTTTTCATTGTAATCTGTCAAATTTCATAAAATTATAGATATGATGTCCTGAAGATAAGGAAGTTGTGGTTTTATCAGACTGATAATTCTTAATATGTCGTTATTCCCAGCTCCCAGCAGGGGGAGCTGTAGTAATAACAATACTAACAATAATTCATCTAACTTTATCTAGCTGCTTATAAAGTCTGTTAAATATTTTAAATCTTACTAATGGCTCAACTGTCTTATACCAGTCTAGCTTGTCTCTTTTTCATCATTAGCCAGGTAACTTATTAAAGTAAGGAGGGAGAAAACAGTAAAAAAAAAAAAAGAAAAAGAAAAGCCAATGGCAAGCAACATACCCCAATTCCCAGTCCTGGCATTATCTCAGCTTCCTCTAGAAATCTGTGTAAAATGTGGTAGAGGACTTCTAAAAATGTTCATTTTTTTTAAAAACAACATGGAACCCAAATGCAAAAAAAAAAGAGAAAAATCTAACCTTTTATTTACTTACATTACTTTTGTGGTAAAAATAAAATCACACATTTAGAAAAAGAATTGGCACCCCTGATGTTAATACTTGTGCAACCCCCTTTTGCCAAAAATAAAGCACTTAATCTCCTCTTATAACATTTCACAAGATTGGAGAACACAGAGAAATCTTCCTAGATTATCCACAGTCCTAGGCCTTCTCTTATACTGTTATAAGTGCATAAGAGATGCTCTAATACTCACCTCTTTATCTCGCCCCTAGAGATTGGGCTGAGGTCTGGGGACTGGGATGGCCATTTGCGGACCTTACGTTTGTGAAAGCTGAAGTTTTTTTGTGTAGATTTTGCCCCATGCGTTGGATCATTCTCTTGCTGAAAGACCCAGTCACAACCCATTTTCAGCTTTCTGGCAGAGGTCATTAAGTTTTTATTTAAAATGTCCTGGTTTTTCAAAGAGTTCATCATACCATGCACCCTAATAAGGTTTCCTGGGCCTTTGGGAGAGAAACCGGCCCACAGCATCACAGCTCCTCAACCGTACTTCTCAGTGGGCATTAGGTTTTTTGCGGCATACTAATCTCTTGTTTTACACCAGACCCACTTATAATGTTTGTTGGTAAAAAGCTCAATCATCTGACAAAAGTACAGGATGCCAGGTGAAGTCCCAGTGCCACTTTGCAAACTCCAGACTTTTACATTTGTGAAAAAATGCTTTTTCCTTGCATGCATCGAAAACAGCTTGTTGACATGTAGAGAGCATCTGATGGCTGTTTCCAAGATTCCACTAATTGCTGGTATTCTTTGACAGTGAGTTTAGGACTTGTTTTAACCTCTCTTTCCAACCTAATCATTGTCAGTTCTGGCAAGATAAACTTGGGAGCTCTTCCAGCCTTGTTTGTCACTGTTCCACTTGTTTTAAACTTCTTAAGGATACCTCTGACTGTAGATGCGGGCAAGTTAAGGTGGGGGCTATTTTCTTGTAGCCATTGCATGACTAATGAAGGTCGACACCGATCTGCCTTACTTGAATGGTGTGTTCTCTTGTCTTTGCCATGTTGACAAATGGGCAAAAGAATTAGGCCTCTGAGTTCATGTCATATTTATACCTCAGGGGAGACAGGAAGTAGTGCCTTATTATTTGAAAATCCCCAGATACCCTGACCAACTTCAGCAACTACAGGAAAATATATTTAAAGGAAATCTTTTCTGCAGAATTGTTAGGAGTGCAAATAATTATGGGACACATGATTTCACTTTATCTTATTTTTACCACCAAAATAATGGACTTAAATAAAAGGCTGGATTATTTTCTTTTTTTGCATTTGAGTTCTAGGCCGTTTAAAATAAAAGGAGAAATTTTAGAAGTCCTCGACCAAATCTTAAACAGGGTTGCCAATACTTGTAGAGGGCACTGTGTATATACATGTATAATTTTTGACAGCAGGAAGAAAAAGAGGGTATTTAATAAATCTACATTTATGTATACAGCATTGACCATTAATTCAAAATTATTTAATTTTAGGAATAAGCTAACCTGGATATGTTCAAAAAAAAAAAAAAAACACGTCGAGGGATTTGTAATTAAGTTATTAACTTAAATATCTAGAAATGTCCACAAATTTCACTCATAAAACATGTTTAGTTGTTTCTTGATGTGTTTCTCAGACACTGAAATTACCTAAATTAATTAAAGTCTTTCCCTTATAAACTCCTTTGAGGGATGTTTTTTATTACTTTAGAATGTAATTATTTATATTTAGTAGGAATTTCACATTTTACATATCTAGTAAAAAATGTTGATGTTCTTGTTTTATCAACATACTGTAAGTTACCATGGATTTCTTCACTCATCTCGGTCAATTTGCCGCACAGTTGAGGTATTGAAGCATGTGGCTTGTCTCATATTTGCCCAAAAGTACGTCAGCCAAATGTAAAAAAAACTTAATATAACGATTTACCAGTCCGACATTAGATAGTAGCAAAGCTAATAACATAGAACATATAAAAATAAAAATAAAACATTTGCAATATAGCGCATTCAAACAAAAGGAAAATCACTTTCTTTGATTCTCCTTATTCTTCTCTAGCATACATCCTTCTTCTACGGTGGTGGAGGCATCAAGCAACAGCCTCCATTGCTGTGTTGTACCTCATCACCAAAAAAATACCTTGTATGTTTAAAAGCTGAAGTCGAATGTGATACATTTTAACATTACACAGCATTCATGATGTTTACCAGCTCACTCATCATAAAATAATGAAAACACAGTAATCCCATATACACAACTGGAAACCTTTCATAAACACTACTGAAAGGCTTTCATATAGACCACTAAAAAACTTTCATATACACGACTGAAAAGCTTTTTTTATTGCTCATCTATCTGCTGAACAGATTACAGAAGCATAGGCATTACTTAACTTTATTCCGGCTGTAACGGAGACCATGTTTCGGTTTTTTGCCAAATTCTGTTCCCCTGTGAAAATCTGTTCTCCCGTGTCGGGAGCACACATCAGCCAGAGAGGCGGACCTGATCATTTCCACTGAGCTTCTGATCATTTCTGAGTAAAAACAATTTGTATACCGGTAATCATGTTAAGGTTGTAACATCCAGTTTTATCTGCAATGGTTGTTTACAAAACCTTAAAATAAATAAACAAACAAGGTCTTCTTATGCTGTTTTGTGTAATTTTAAAGATCAAGGGAATCTGTCTTTTTCCAACTTTTGTCAGTTAAGCCTGACAGAAATAAAAGTGATAATCTTCCGCGATCTGGGGCTCCACGCAAGATCTCACCCCGTGGGGTCAAAATGATCACAAGAACGGTGAGTAAAAATCCCAGAACCACACGGCGGGACCTAGTGAATGACCTGCAGAGAGCTGGGACCAAAGTAACAAAGGCTACCATCAGTAACACACTACGCCGCCAGGGACTCAAATCCTGCAGTGCCAGACGTGTCCCCCTGCTTAAGCCAGTACATGTCAAGGCCCGTCTCAAGTTTGCTAGAGAGCATTTGGATGATCCAGACGATGACTGGGAGAATATCATATGGTCAGATGAAACCAAAATAGAACTTTTTGGTAAAAACTCTACTCGTCGTGTTTGGAGGAGAGAGAATGCTGATCCGTGTGAAGGAAAGAATGAATGGGGCCATGTATCGTCAAATTTTGAGTGAAAACCTCCTTCCATCAGCAAGGGCATTGAAGATGAAACTTGGCTGGGTCTTTCAGCATGACAATGATCCCAAACACACCACCCGGGTAACGAAGGAGTGGCTTCGTAAGAAGCATTTCAAGGTCCTGGAGTGGCCTAGCCAGTCTCCAGATCTCAACCCCATAGAAAATCTTTGGAGGGAGTTGAAAGTCCGTGTTGCCCAGCGACAGCCCAAGAACATCACTGCTCTAGAGGAGATCTGCATGGAGGAATGGGCCAAAATACCAGCAACAGTGTGTGAAAACCTTGTGAAGACTTACAGAAAACGTTTGATCTCTGTCATTGCCAACAAAGGGTATATAACAAAGTATTGAGATGAACTTTTGTTATTGACCAAATACTTATTTTCCACCATATTTTGCAAATAAATTCTTTAAAAATCAGACAATGTGATTTTCTGGATTTTTTTTTTCTCATTTTGTCTCTCATAGTTGAGGTATATCTATGATGAAAATTACTGGCCTCTCTCATCTTTTTAAGTGGGAGAACTTGCACTGTTGGTGGCTGACTAAATACTTTTTTGCCCCACTGTATATGTATATAAATATACATATATATATATATATATATATATATATATATATATATATATATATATATATATATATATATATATATATATATATATATATATATATATATATATATATATATATATATATATAATCCAATCCTGTAATGCTCTGTTTGCTTGTTCCACTTGTTATCGATCTCGGACCTGTGTTCTGACCCCAGCTTTAGATTTAACCCTCTGTACCACTTCTCTCCGGGATGTCTGGAATCAGCTCCGTAACAAGCTATGGAGTAACCACTCCTCTGGTTTTGACCCCATCTTCAGAGCTTGGACTGAACTTTACCAGGTTGGTGACTGTTTGAGTTCTGAAGTCACTGACCTGGAGGAGCAGAGTCTCAGGTCAGTGACTTCAGAACTCAAACAGTCCCCCCCAGGCGACGAGCAGCCGCATGCCTCGATAAATAAATGCTTGTTTCTCAAACTGATCTGTCTATTTAATTCTGGGTCCAGCATTCTGAGTGCCTCACATTAACACTCATTGCGTAATTATTGGTGAGCATCTCCCTGAAATGAGTTTTTGAAACTTGGGATGTCTATAACGTTTTGTGGTGCACCAATAGTTCCATCCAAGGTGCGTAGTCACTGTTTTTCCGTGAGTGATGTGTTATAATATACTACTAAGAATTGTATAATTGTATCTTCTTGGCCTATTTATAAAGCTGTTGCTCTATCCTGAACCTTTATGACGTGTTGTACTTCATACGGGGCCAACCAAGATAATGTTGCTTACGGATCTATTGTTGTGTCGCTACGCAATTGATCAACACTTGGGGGCGGCAGCAGGTAATATTTAACTTCTAAAAACAGGGGGAAATGTCTGAACCACAGAGGAAGAGGGGGGGTTTTAGATGGACTGTATAACAGGAGGTATGAGCCAGCAATCCAGATCCCTGAGAGGCACCATGGAGGAAGCATCGGTCAGAGTTCTGCTCAGTAAGTAGATATTTTCTCTGTTGTTAAGGTTTCCTCATGCATATGATGCAGAAAACTAGAAGAGGAGCAGTAATGACATCTAGGAGTTTTTCCTAAGACCTTTTTTTCTCTCTGTAGTTGTGGCTGCAGTACTGAGCTTCTCTACTAAACAAGGTTGGTTAACTTTCTGTTTTATGCTGATGTCTTAAAGAGTTTGTTTATCCAAGGGCATAGCTTTGATTTAAACTTTGGTAGGGGCACTTTTGGTCTGATGTCATTCGTCCTATGCAAAAATATGCATTGCCATTTTTTTTATGCTTGACGTGAAAATCAGGGTGTATTTTGTTTAAAGAGAAAAACAGCATTTCTTGCTACATTTGTGCAAATTTTATAAGCACTACACAAACTAGATGCTGTTTATCAATGTTTGAAACATCACTAGCTCTGATGTGGAATTAGACTTTTTTCCACTTTGAAAAGGTTTGCATTTGACATTACCAGCGACTAAGACATAAAGTAAATCTGTGCCTATTTAACAAAATATAGTCTAAAATATAGTCTAAATATGTGGATTTATCCTGTTTTTTCTTTTGAAGATATACAAATGTGCAGAGGTAAAACCCACTCTTATCTTTTAAATATTCGCTATGTGAACATGCTCATGAAACAAAGCAAAATAATAGATTTGAGGGACACCAAATAAATGTATTGCATTTACATGATCAGTGGAACTGACACTAAACATTTAAAATATCAATTTCACTGTTTAAGTCATCTAGGCTGTAGTTACTCTATTTAACCCATATCATGTATTTTATCTTGGGCTCAACCAATTCATTGGAATAATCGATTATTGAAATGTCAATAAATCTTTTAATCGATTAATCGTTAACTGGAGTATAGAGACTCTAAAACATGTCTTTAGCTCACAGAGGGACCCACTTACAGCAGGAACTATAACAAAATTGTAAAAAAAAAAAATGCATTTTAGACCAAAATTGTTTTTGTCTGTCAACATTATCCATCCAGAGCTCCTCTACTGCTGCAAAAAAGTTGGTAGGGAAAAGTAGGTTGGTCCAAAATGTTGGTAGGGACACGTCCCTATGGTCCCTATGCAAAATTACGCCAATGTGTTTATTCAGAATATTTAATAGTAATAAGACGGAAGGAACCCAGATATTTTTATCATTAGAAGGAACAACTACAATTTTCATTCTTGCTCTAATACACCATGTTATAAAAACTGATAATTTAAGAATGGATGGAGAGCATTTCAACTTCCTTAAAAATACATTTAGAGTTAAATGTCATACAGCAATTGTGCATCTTAGGGTTAAACGTTCAATAAGATGTTCAGGACCCTGGGGCCCTGAGAAGGTCAAAACTAAGCAGCTGTTTCTTTTCTTGTTTTGTTTTTCTTTAGTCCTCCCAGCTGCTCTGACTGTGAGTCCCAGCAGATCTCAGTTCTTTAAAGGAGACTCTGTGTCTCTGAGCTGTGAGGAGAACAACAGCTCTGCTGGATGGACTGTATGGAGGAACACAACCAGAGAAACCAGGACTCAGTGTGGAGATGGATGGGGGAAACTAGCTGGTTCTACCTGTAAGATCACCTTATATCCCTTAGACAGTGGAGTTTACTGGTGCTGGTCGTCCAGAGAGGGAGCAGCCAGCAGCAGCATCCAGCTCACTGTCACTGGTAAGATCAGACTGTGGAGTTAGTGTTGATGAAGCTGTGTGGAAATGGATGAAATGCTGTAGTTTGTCTCTGTGTTGAGGTGGATCAGTGATCCTGCAGAGTCCTGTCCTCCCTGTGATGGAGGGAGATGACGTCACTCTGAGCTGTCTAACAGAGACCACTCCCTCCAACCTCCCAGCTGCTTTCTATAAAGATGGCTCCTTCATCGGGACTGAGCCCAAAGGTCACATGACCCTCCACCATGTGACCAGCTCTGATGAAGGCCTCTACAGGTGTAACATCAGGGGTCATGGAGAGTCTCCATCCAGCTGGATCTCTGTTGAAGGTCAGCAGCTTCTCTCTCTGCTTCAATCTTCATTATGAAACAAAAACTAAATATAATGTTTTGTTCCATCAGAGAAACCCACCACAGCTCCTCCACAGGCACCCAATGGAGTGTAGATTAGTGTGAGAGAAGAAAACTCTAATTCTTTCATTTTATTTTTTTTCGCCACATGTTTGATTCAACGTCAGTTCATATCAGGAGATTTTATTTCCATTAAGACTGATTATTTCAAACAATCAAAAGTCTGCAGGGCGACTTGCAGCAGTTTAAGCAAAGCTGATCCATTATGTAACTTTAGGGAACTTGGATAAAAAAGACCAGTAGAAATGTTTAGAAATCAGCTCCAGATGTTTTACAGAAATTACAGGATGTGAGCTGATTGGTTAGGATTCTCCCAGACACACCAATGCTAAGACTCTCATGAAAATGCCTTTGATTGGATGAATAGATGGAAAACTGAGACAGAAAATCAAACATCTCAGTGTTTTAAGATCAGCATCCTGCTTAGTGGAGTCCCTTTTTTCTCGGTCCTTACATAGTCCAACATGTTTTTATTCAAGATGTCTACTTTTAATTACTTTCGGGAATCACAGATCTTTTCTTAAATATGAAGATGAGGCGTTTTTTCTACATATTCATCCTTTGCTTGCCGACAAACCCAGCTGGAGTTTACTGAAAAATGTAGTTCTAAAGGGAACAGTTATATTTGAAGTCTTTAAATAAAATAAACCAATATATGCCAAGTGTTCATCACAATAGCGTTATTTTTTTAAAATAAAACATGTTTGCATCTTAGCAACAATCAACATAAACCTAATTGTACTCTGTATTATCTGCTGGCAGGATGTGTCCATTGACTCACCAGCTTCAGAGGCCTTAGCTTCATATTGTATTCCAAGCGTTACTCGTGTTGATCGCCTTTTTGATGTCAAATAACCTCATGTTTAAGTCCATCTTGGATGTTTCCACTTTTTTCTCAGATTTCCACTGGGAGTTGCTAAGCTCCATTGCTTCATTGTTTACTTTTTACATGCATCTATATCACACGGTCTTATTTTGGTAAAGAAATAAAAAACTTTGTTTACTGTGTACCTGTTTACTAATAGAAAAGTGTAAAAAAGCAGCACAGAAATGTAATCAGTCAAAATAGAACCCTAATATAATCAAACTCCCTCTATATACCAGAGTGTTCATACACTAGAGCAGGGGTCTTCAATGTTTTTCAGGCCAAGGACCCCCAAACTGATGGCGAAATGGAGCGGGGCCCCCTTATCATATATATTGTAAGAAATGGTTTTATGTCAAACTGGTCCTATAGTCACTCTATTAGATAGGAATTCATGTAACGAAAGTAATTTCTCCCTGGGATTATTAAAGTATTTCTGATTCTGATTCCTGGTTGATGGGACAGGTGTTGTGAATGAAACGGTGTCCAGCTTGAAAGAGCTCCTGTGTGTCGCTGAATGTGTGCATTGATGACTTTATCTTTACTGCAGTGTGTTGAATTCATGTCAAAGTGGATTTGAAGACATTTCAAATAGTGGAAAGAAGTATATAAAAAAAAAGTCTAATCAACCAAAACTTTCGCAACCCCCATGCAGTACCTCCGTGGACCCCCTGGGGTTCGCGGACCCCCTGTTGAAGACCTCGCACTACAGCTTGTGAATGGGTATTTTAGGACGTTCTTACACCTATATAAGGTTTGCTTTTGTCTGAATTAGTAGATGAGTCTGTTGTTGTGGAAGACAAATAATGAAATTTAGAGAAAAAAATGTAGCAACATGCAAATGGACTGCAAGTCCAACTCCCCTCGCTAATACATAAAAGAGGATAAGACACAAATAAAAAAATACGTGCAAAGAGAAAATGCAACTAGTCACAAAAACAACTGCAAGTCAAGAAAGGCTGCAGAATGGCTCTACATAGCAGAACTGCTCCAGACCACTAGAGGGAGACAATCACTAACTTATATTGAACCAAACCCCAGCAAAGACAGAAATGACAAGAACCTCACTGCAGTAAACAGAAAGAAGCAATGAATGAGACATCATTGCACTCTGGAAATGAAGGGGGCGCTATTCCAGAATCGCTACCACCTTAAAGAAGTGGGAATTAGCAAGTTAACCTCGTAATAACAAAGCTGAGATTGTGAGAAGTTCTTCTGCTGATTAAAAGTATGGTGTGAAATAATGGAGGGCTGCAAGGTGATCCAGGGGGTAGCACTGTTGCCTTGCTACAAGAAGGTTCTGGGTTCGATTCCTGGACCGGGCTCTTTCTGCATACAGTTTGCAGGTTGTCCCTGAGCATGCTTGGTCCTCTCCAGGTGTTTGGCTTCCTCCCACAGTCTAATAACATGTTAGCATTATTGGCTTCTCTTAATCCTCCATAGCTGTGAGTGTGTTGGCGCATGGTTGTGTGTCTTTGTGTGTCTCTGTGTAAACCTGCAACAGACTAGTGACCTGTCCAGGATGACCCCGCCCCTCACCCATTGACAGCTTGAGATAGGCACCGCCCCCACCATGACGCAGATAAGGACTAAGTGGGAGAAAATGGATGGAATCCACAATGGAAAACTAAAGCTATTTTAAGCACATAAAACAATTTTTGCAGGTCAAAGAGTAAATTAATAAAAGTGGAAATATTCATCCAAATGTTTTTTGTTTTCTCTGTAGTTGTGGCTGCTGTACCGAGCTGCTCTACTAAACAAGGTTGGTTAACTTCCTGTTTTTTACTGATGTCTTAAAAGGTATTTTATCCGTCTGATTCAGAACATTTATAGTGTTTATAAGATGGAAGGAACACAGATTTTCTGATTATTTGAAGGAACAACTATGATTTTCATTGTGGCTGTAATACGCCATACATCCTATAAAATCTTTGATAGTTTAAGGATTGATGGAAAGAATTTTGACTTCCTTCAAAATACATAGAGTCTTAAAAGATTACATTTCATACAGCAACAGTGCAGCTGAGGATTTAGTGTTTTGGAGCCCTGAGAAGGTCAAAACTAAGCAGCTGTTTGTTTTTTTAACTCCTCCCAGCTGCTCTGACTGTGAGTCCCAGAAGATCTCAGTTCTTTGAAGGAGACTCTGTGTCTCTGAGCTGTGAGGAGAACAGCAGCTCTGCTGGATGGACTGTATGGAGGAACACAACCAGAGAAACCAGGACTCAGTGTGGAGATGGATGGGGGAAACTAGCTGGTTCTACCTGTAAGATCACCTTATATCCAGCAGACAGTGGAGTTTACTGGTGTTCCTCCAGAGAGGGAGCAGCCAGCAGCAGCATCCAGCTCACTGTCACTGGTAAGATCAGACTGTGGAGTTAGTGTTGATGAAGCTGTGTGGAAATGGATGAAATGCTGTAGTTTGTCTCTGTGTTGAGGTGGATCAGTGATCCTGCGGAGTCCTGTCCTCCCTGTGATGGAGGGAGATGACGTCACTCTGAGCTGTCTAACAAAGACCACTCCCTCCAACCTCCCAGCTGCTTTCTATAAAGATGGCTCCTTCATCGGGACTGAGCGCAGAGGTCACATGACCCTCCACCATGTGACCAGCTCTGATGAAGGCCTCTACAGGTGTAACATCAGGGATCATGGAGAGTCTCCATCCAGCTGGATCTCTGTTCAAGGTCAGCAGATTCTCTCTCTGCTTTAACCTTCATTATGAAACAAAAACTAAATATAATGTTTTGTTCCATCAGAGAAACCCACCACAGCTCCTCCACAGGCACCCAATGGAGTGTAGATTAGTGTGAGAGAAGAAAACTCTAATTCTTTCATTTTATTTTTTTCGCCACATGTTTGATTCAACGTCAGTTCATATCAGGAGATTTTATTTCCATTAAGACTGATTATTTCAAACAATCAAAAGTCTGCAGGGCGACTTGCAGCAGTTTAAGCAAAGCTGATCCATTATGTAACTTTAGGGAACATGGATAAAAAAGACCCGTAGAAATGCTTAGAAATCAGCTCCAGATGTTTTACAGAAATCACAGGATGTGAGCTGATTGGTTAGGATTCTCCCAGACACACCAATGCTAAGACTCTCATGAAAAACGCCTTTGATTGGATGAATAGATGGAAAACTGAGACAGAAAATCAAACATCTCTGTGTTTTAAGATCAGCATCCTGCTTAGTGGCGTCCCTTTTTCTGGGTCCTTACATAGTCCAACATGTTTTTACTCAACATGTCTGCTTTTAATTACTTTCATGAATCACAGATCTGTTCTTAACTATGAAGATGAGGCTTTTTTCTACATATTCATCCTTTGCTTGGCGACAAACCCAGCTGGAGTTTTAAGTACTGAAAAATGTAGTTCTAAAGGGAACAGTCATATTTGATGTCTTTAAATAAAATAAACCAATATATGCCAAGTGTTCATCACAATAGTGTTATTTTTTGTGTCCATTAACTCCCCAGCTTCAGAGGCTTCAGCTTCATACATTATTCGAAGCGTTACTGGTGTTTATCGCCTTTTTGACGTCAAATATTTGAATTATGTTTCACAGTTCATAGTGGACATTTCAGGATGTATAAAACCTGAGTAGTAAAAGCTAAAAATATGGTTAATAGTGTGACTACAAACCTCCTTAGAGCCACAGGATTCCAAAGGGCTTTACAATACATTCACTCATTAGCTATCACACCTATATTGATGAGCTACACTGTAGCCACAGCTGTCCTGAAGCTCAATGAAAGAAGAGAGGCTGCAATAAACAGGTGCTACTGGGCCCTCTGACCATCATCAGTAGGTAAGTTGGATAAGTTGTGTTGCCCAAGGACATAACGGCAGAGACAAAAAAAGCTAGGCTGAAAAGCATCTACGTCTCAGTGTAGAATGAACTCCTGCATCCAGATTAAAAAATATCACAAAATCAGTATCTAATATAGAGCTGGATGGTCAGAGAAATGATCAGTCCAGCAGATCCAGGTCTGTTTCCTCTGCTTACGGCTCTTAATCCTGTAGAGATGGTGACTGAAGAACTCAATAGAATCTATTTTATCATCAAACTGCTGTCTTTAGTTATCACCCCACACTCTGATCAATGCACAGGAGATATGTTTGATCTGGAGCCAAGAATGCTGATTTTGCCTTTGATTATACAGGAAGAGATTTTCCTTTAAAATGACACAAATACCCCCAGAGGTCCTTAGGCTTCTAAAGATCTATAAAAGCACCTGTAGACAGAACAATAAACTCCCACAATCCCCTTCATGACGTCACAACAGTAAAGAACAGCTTCAGTGATTCACTGTCTGCTAAAAACCCACAGAACACAAAGACTAGATATTAGCCTCCAAATGCTTCTTTTATCACTCAGCATCCTCTTTGTTCCAGTTCTCCATGTTTCTAGCTACAATTCCCAGCAGTGGCAGCTGCTGAAAAAGGGGAGGCTCACAATTATCGGTAAGGTAAATGTTAGGATTCCAGTTTGTGTTGGTTGTGTTTTTGTTTGTCTTCCCTCCACCAGCAGGCGGCGCCTGGTTCTGGTCCGCCTCCTCACACACCTGCGGATGGTTACCTCATTAACGGAGGACTCTTAAGCTGCTGACTGCCACTACCTCGACGCCAGAGTGTTTGCCAGTTTTTGGTACTCTAGCGAAGCTGAGTTTTGCTGATTGCAACTGAGTTTTTTTCTGCCTGAGTTTTAACCTTGCTGATTTTGTCTTTGCCTCTCGGCAGGAAGTCAACCCCCAAACTGGATGTTTTGGACCTTCTCCCCCCTGGAAGGATTCTCTGAGCACCAATCTGAGCTGAGGATTCAAGTTTGTGGTTTGGATCAACTTTTCCCCCCAAAGATTGTTTTTGGGCTTCTCTCTGAGCAGGGTTTTCATCTCCACAATAACCTGTTCAAGTACCGCAGGAAAACTAAGTGGCAGTCAGCTTCTCCGTTCACCAAGGAACAGCAGCATTCTGGGTAAACCCTGTCCGCCCTCCAACGAAGACATTCACTGGTACAACCCACACCGACTGGATTCAGTAAGAGACACCTTTTTCTGGAAACGTGAGTCTGCAACCTATTTCCTCTTCCTCAAGTCTAAGACACTAATTTCCCACTGAGCCTGAACTAACCGCAGTGTCTTCCCCTCACTTTCCAGTTCCGGTTTGACAGTGTTCAGAGCAGCACTGGACTCATCTCATTCACTCTAAATAAAAACTTGTTAAACTTTTCCCTGGTCTCTCTGTTTGGTCTTCTGCATGTGGGTCAGATCTTTAGATAAATCATGACAATAAATAAATATACCATCTGATTGGTTGTCTGAGATCCAGAAAACTCTTCTTTTTAGTTAAGTTTTAGCGTCACCAGACTGTCAATTTATCAATTCATTGAAACCCATAGGAGTTTGATGATATCATGTTTTTTAATTATTTTTAAGAATTGACATTGAGTATTTTGCATATTTTGACTTAAAAAATGAAAATATGCTGATGAGGTTTTGAGAGGAAAACCGTTAGACTCAGAGAGAACCAAACAGTTTATACAGAATATTTTTTATTGAGAGATTTGCTAAAAGCAGGCTTACTATACAAATTGTAAGCTACATGTACTAAATCACTTGCCTTCATGTACTTTGTAAATTGAAACCTGTACAAAGACAATGGAAATATCACAAAGTGAACAAGAAACTCAACTCATGAAAAATGACAAAAGTTTTGGAGATCTCCGACTAATTTCATGTCATTTCTGTTTTGAAAAACTGAGTCAAAACAACAGGTTTGTTTAAATGTGCTGCTTATTTCCTGCAGATGTATCATATGCAGACAATTTATGAAAACTTTTATTTTTTAAAGTCAGAGCTAAATATCATTTATTTTCATATTTTTCATTACATTAATTCCCAGATAGTCCTACAAATTAGAAGTAAATAATTTTAAAACACTAAGAGCTTCACTATGTTCTGTAAGAATAATATATCCCCACTATCTATCCACACTGGGTGAAATAAAAACCCAAAACAGGTATACTTTAGGAAGCTGTTTATCAAAGGAAATTATGCCAAGATTTTACAGTATATGTTTCTATGCACAAAGCTAGAGATCAGACTGATTAAAACCTGAAGGAACAATAGGAAAGCAAGGTTTTAACTGAAACTTTAGTCTTTAAAGGCTTTAAGCTGCAAAAATATATAATTATATTTTTATTTGATTCTATTATCATTCATAATGTGCATTTCCAAATCACCATGCATCAATGCTCTGATTGTTGCTCTGGACAGAAAAAAAAAAAAAAATTAATTAAAACTGCAAGCTGAATCATTGCAAATGGCTGTAGTTTCATTTTTTTAGATAAAATCTTGTGATTCCTTTGCATGTTTTAGATTTGGTCCAACTTTTCTGGGTCAGAGAAACAGAAGAACATAAGAATTAAGTTTTGTGAATTGAGGCTTCACTGCTTTGGTAAAGAAACTGAACAAGAAGACTTGAGTTAAAGTAAAACAGACACAAAAAATAGCTTCACACAGTTTTTCATTCTGTTATATGTTGTATGTTGCACTTTAAAAATGAAATTGTCTAGAGCTGTTTTAAACGAAATTTCTTTTTATTTACACTTGTGTCTACAAAATGACAAAATAAATCGGTCTAAGTATAAAGGAGAAGAATCACAGAGTTAAAAGAAAAATTACATTTAATGAACTTTAAAAAACTTTTCATCTTTTTTAAAACAGGAAAAAGAAAAGCCTCCACAAGTTCAGACATGTTTACAGTAGCAGCATAGGAATTTCCCTAAACCAGATTCAGATAAAATCTTTTGATCAACACATAAAAATTATAGGAACAGGATGAGCTGCAGGCAGAAAACCTGTTCCAACCTGCAGCCTGGAGGCACTTTATGGAACGTCGCTCGATTTCACAGAAGCTGAAAATGGAAACTAGAGGCAGGTAAGCCGTTCAACAGGAACGGAAAATAAAACAGAATTTTTTTCTTGGAATATTCATTATCACAGTTATGATCTTCTACCAGTAAATAGGAGAAACTATAGATGGAACCACATTAATGGCAAACATTAACTGCAAACTGACCTGTTTTTTAAGGAGGACCGATCCTGCCATGATTAAAAATACGTACTGAAATAAATGAAGGACTGAATAATATAAAATTAATTGAAAAAGTAGATAATAATATGAATTTGTGTGCCATTAAATGTGAGAAAACAATAAAAAGAAGACATTTCTTCAACAATTGATCAATTATTTATCAAAAAAGTTAAAATATATATTTTTTGATGAATAATTGATCAGTTGTTGAAGAAATATCTTCTTTTTATGATTTTGTCACAGTTAATGGCACACAAATTCATATTATTAGCTACTTTTTCAAGCAATTTATATTAAGTCCTTCATTTATTTCTGTACATATTTTTAATTATGGCAGGATCGGTCCTCCATAGTTTTTAGAGTTAATGACTGTTGTGATTTTATGTTCAATTCAATTCCCAGCCAGCCGGGAATTTATATTTCTGATACTTTAAGATGTTTATTGCCTTCCCCTGTAGGGGGGTGGGGGTGGGGGGGGTGTGGGGGTGTGGGGGGGGGGTAAAATATCTTATTTAATCAGATATTATTTCAGCTGTTATATACTATAAGAGTTTATTAACAAAAATCATTCAGCTCCAAGTCAAACATATTTCAGTTTAACACTCTGAACTAAGACTAGTAAAACTCAACTAAACTAAACTAACTACTATGTACAAAGAGGAAGGGAAACATGGCTGAAAAACATATTACAGTTTAAGATGGATTTTGTGTTTGAAACCAAAGTTTATCTGGAAAAATTTGGGATATGATCAAATTAGCTTTTCACTAATTTTAAAGAAATTGGAATGTTTTCAGATCAATTCACAATGCAAATCCATGAGGTGAATAAAACATTATTTGGCCAAATAATGTTTTATTAAAAGATTTGCTTAATCAAGAACCAATAACCTTTAGTTAAATGATTCTTTACCTTCCTTGAAATAGCTAGCAGCGAATAGACATCAGGATTCGATTAAATGACTCTTGGTCATACTTGGTAATTGAAATGTAATAAGCATCTGAGGAACACATGAACACTAATGTTATATCAGTATTTAAATCCTTAGTGAATAAAGTTTGTCTAAGCTTTAGCAACAGCTTAACACGTATTCCTGTAGCATAGCGTAGCATGCAGTCCATTCCTTAGCATCAATTAGCGTTGTCTTTACTCAGCAGTAAACACGTGATATGATTAATATCATCAAAAGAAATCTGCAGTCAGGGCACAGCAGGGGTTCTTTGTCAAGGCAGTCCTTCTTTCATCCAGTCTGGCTCTATAAGTTCTGAAACTCAAGAGAAATGTGTTGCAAAAAGGTCTGTTTTGCAGCAGTTTGGTTCTGAAAGGTTCTGACCTATCCTTGATGGTTCTGGGGATCTGGTTCCTCTGGGGCCCGCATATCCACTGTGGTGGTGAAACAGCCAAGGTGGACCTTAGCTCCCTGGGTAAGGGAGAGGAGGCAAGGAGAGAAGGAGCCAAAAAGGGGAGAATGCTCTGTGCTCTGTGGTTTTGTCTGTCCTCGCACAGACGGGGGGGGGGGGGGGGGGGGGGGGGGGTGGTTGTTCACACCTCTGTGACTTTCCATATGTCTTGCCTGTGGAGGCCTTGCCTTAAACGGGGGTTGTTGCAGAGATTCCACAGCTGATTCCACATCATCATGTCAATATCAAATATGGACATTGGTTCCCAATATCCAAAAAGTATGATCCTGGCATATGGCGCAACATCACAATAATATTTTGAACATCTTTTGAACAAAGATGAGTAGATCGATCCAAGATATCAGTAACGTCAAATCTGATGCGGAGACAACAGAAAGTTGTAGAGTTTATAAAAAGTCTGGAAAATACATGGCAATAAGACAAAGCCTGGATCCAGAGGCAGATGTTCCTCAACGAGGCATCTCAGTCAAACTAGTATCCAGGCATGAGTCCTGTTCTTCTTGACTTGTTAATTTTTAAAGTGTGTCCCATCATATGTTGTTTAAAGCAATTGAAAAGATATCAACTATGCAAAAATATACATAGTTTACATTAAAATGTTTCATTATAAACGATTCTTGATTCCTTCTGAAACTTGAAGTTTTATAGGAGAAAACAAGCAAGTAAAGTGTATCAAGAAAATTATATAGACTATACCAATGATTGTGAAATGTAATACTATCAGGAAAAATAAAATTAAAAATCACTATCTAATACAGAGCAGGATGGTCAGAGCCGCAATCAATCCAGCAGATCCAGGTCTGGGTTCTCTGCTAACGGCACTTGATCCTGTAGAGTAAAAACAGCGGTCATTATGAGGTGTCAAGAGATGGTGACTGGAGAACTCAATAGAATCCCTTTTAGTATCAAACTGCTGTCTTTGGTTTTCACCCCAGACTCTAATCTGTGCAAAGGAAACACATTTGATCTGGAACCCAAAAGGCCATTAGGCTTCTCTAAATCTATAAAGGCATCTATATACAGAACACAATCCCCTTCATATCATCACAATAGTAAAGATAAGCTCCAGTAATTCACTGACTGCAAAAAAAAACACAGAGCACAAGGACTAGATATTAGCCTCAAAATGCTTCTTTTATCACTCAGCATCCTCCTTGGTCCAGTTCTATTTGTTTCTAGCTAGAATTCCCAGCAGTGGCAGCTGTTGACCTCTGAAACAGTGGAGGCTCAGTCAGCGGCGGCTGGCCAGTAAAGGGGCACTGCAAGGATTTCTTCCCAAATATGCCACCTAGCATGCTGCAAAATAAGCATCAGTTCAGGATCAGTTACCACCTGCTGATGTTACAGTTATCAAGCGTTTTCTCTGGACTCGTAAATTAGGGGTTGAACGGTTCACAAAATCCACGGTTCGGTTCGGTTCACGGTTTCGTGGTCACGGTTTTCGTTTCGGTTGTGTTGATTGTTAGGAAAATCTATTGTGTTTTGTATAGTACAACACGTGTTGCACAATGCTTGCACACTGTTGCACTTTTATCCACCACTTTCTTTCCGCCGTCATCGTAGGTCACTCTAAATGCAACTTCCAACTCCTGTTCTTTCCCACTCGCCATACCCACACAATTCTCCACAACAACTGATTTTTTTCTGCTACACCCGGCTACGCTGCTTCGCTTCTGTTTCTTCTTGTTTACTACTGTTGGTTGGCTTTGGTCGCAGTACCCCCACCTTCTGCTCTGGAGTGTAAACGCTTCGCCTATGAGAAAAAGGAGCAGCGCATGAACCGAATGAAACACGCGAACCGAACCGAGACAGTCGAACCGAACGGTTCGGACGGTTTTCATAAACCGTTCCATCCCTATCGTAAATACAACTACTCTCATTGGACAACAAAATGGATCATCTAAAAGTCGAACATTCTTCAAAGGAGGAGATAAGTAACTGCTGTGCTGTCATCCTGATGAAGCATGGCTTAAATCATTTAGAGGCTTCACAAAATTCAGTGCAAGACTAGCAGCTTCTGCAACAGCTTTTCCCCACTGCTATCAGACTGTTGAAACGTTGAAACTCTAATCAAGACACAAATCAAGATTCTGCATCATACTTGAAAACACCATATTTTCACTACATGGTGTATGTTCCAGTCCCTTTAAGTAGAACTCAACTCAATGTTTATATTTCTGATCATTGCTGGACTTTATAAATGAAAATGTTAATTTTACCATTATAAGCTGCTCATCACTTTTAAAAAGCTGTATGCATCCCAATCTCGTTTGGAATACATTCTGTGTATACAAATTGACAATAAAATTTGTCTAAGTCTAAAGTCTAAGTCTAATATGCGCACCAATAAGAACATGTAACAAAATAAACCCCACCACAGAGCCATAACACAGGGTCTTTACAGTATTATGGGAAAGCATAAACATGAATGTTTCAGCCTCACTTCAGCAACAAGGAAGCTGCTGAACCCTATGATCCAGACAAACACACACTGTCAGACTTACGTGGAGCGACGTTCAGGTTGATGATGCAGTTAGGAAAAACACTTTTTTGTCGCAGCGTAACCCTACATTCATATGTCCCTTTGTCACCAGCCGAAATGTTTCTCAGAACCAAAGACACGCTATTATTCATCATCTTTTTGTGCTTTAGTTCCACCCGGTTCTTGAAAGAGGAATGCTGCTCTGAGTCATCAATGTGTCCATCTCTATACAAAAAGACACCATCTGGGTCCAGATTTTTCTTGGACCAAGATACAGCATTGATAATTTGGCTGGCGTTAATCTGACATGGCAGAAGGGTGTCCTCTCCAAGTTTTACATTGATGTTCTCCAGAACTGCAGGAGAGGAAATAACAGAGAGCAAAGAGGTCAGAGTAGAATCCTGCAGTAAACCTCCACATCAGTATGAGAAAAAGAAGAAGAAAATAATAACTAAAAGCTGACATCTGAAGTGAAATAAGCTACATATAGAATATATGTATATATGATCTGTTTAATATGAGCTTCTCTTTGCAGCAGTGATGGTCAGTGAAGGCAGTGTGATCCAATAAAGGTTTTTACCCCACAAAAAAAAAAAAGAAAGATTTAATAATTTTTGGACCAAAAGAAGACTGCTCTAAAGTTAGCAGCCAGCTTCAGCTAATCCAGCTAGAAAGCAGCAATCAGGCTGTAAATCTGGGTGTAGTGATGGACTCAGACCTGAACCTTCAGAGGATCGTAGAGACAGGAACACCTTCTATCACCTAAAGAACATCTGCAGGATTAAAGGACTGATGTTGATAAATTAATTCATTCATCTTTAGTAGAATTGATTCCTGCAGTGGTGTCTTCAAAGGTCTGCCTAGAAAGTGGATCAGAGCTGCAGCTGATCCAGAGCGCTGCTGCCCTTGTTCTCTCTAGAACTAAGCAAGTACAGCAAATCCGCTCAGCTCTACAGTCTTTCCTCTGGATCCCTTTATCTCAGAGAACAGACTTTAAAATCCTTGTTAGTCTAGAAATCTCTGAATGGCTGAGCTGGTAAATACACTGCAGACTCGATGTCAGTGAATCAACAGCCAGACCTATCAGGTCTTCTGGATCAAATCTACTTGGAATCTCCAGAACCAAAAAAGGAAAAGCAGCTTTTAGTTCTAACCTCTAAAAAACACCAGTCGTCATTTAGATGTTGTTTTTTAGGCTAAATGTTGTTGGTCCCTTTTTTTTAATTTAGTCCAGAAAAAGTTGTTGAAAATTAGGCTGTTTGGTCAGCCTGATTTTGTCCCACTTTAGTCGAATAATATATGTTGAAAAAACGTCTTTTCTATGATCTAAAAATTATAGCTTTTCTCCTTTTACTTTTCAACCAAATGCAGACGGTGTTTGAACATAATCATGTCATTTCAACCAACGTTTGCTCGCTGGATATGGTCCATTAATCTGGTGCTTAAACCTTCAGCTGTTTTTAATCTAGATTAAAAATGCACTTGATTAAATTGGCCTTTTGCTGAGCTACTCAGATATTAAGTTTCCTTCCAACTTTCCTATTTTATCTGATCAGCCATTTTATTATTTTTCTATATTCTTTTCTTTATTTCAATCATTTAATTTGTATTTTCTTTAACGATGTTTGTTAATTAATTATTTAAAAACCTTTAAGCAGTTTACTTCTTTTTACCTTTTTTCCTCATGTACAGCCCTTAAAAATGTCTTGCTACTGAAATGTGCCACAAACATGGACAAAATAGTTGGTGAGGTACCCCTCATTTAATAAAATATAAGTTCAATGGTCTCAGAAGTGTTTAGATTTAACAAATTTTATGTAAATAAACAAATGAAAGTCAGACATTGCTTTTCAATCATGCTTTAACGGAATTATAAAAATTAAACTCATGAAGTTAACTAAATATTTTATTGCCCAACCTTTAGATTTAATCAATCTGTTCCTGTTCCTGTCAGTCAGACCTCTGCTCCGAGCTAAAAATTATAAACATTTTTTATTTTACAGATAAAGACAACTAAGGTTGGCATCTTGTTTAAAATATTAAGGTGGCTATTAAACGTTTTATTTTTTTTAGTTAAGTTTTGTATTGTGTCAGTGTGATTGATGTTTTTTTTCTTCTTTTCAATAAAAGCTCACACAGTAATAACAAATGATAAAAACTGACATTTATTAAAAAGTTGATGATAACTATCTAACCTAGAGAGACTAACAATGAAAAAATGGGGCAAATAGAGGATTTGTTGACATTTAATAAATTATCAATAGTAGCCATTCAAATTTCCCCACTTTCCTTGATGGGTCCTTGGCTGGTCCCCTACTATTCCTTTTTAAACATCAATATTTGCACTAGAATATTCTTTGTGTCATATTTTGTGAGCATTAACCTCTAAAGAGAAGCATAATCTCCTGGTCAGATTTGAATTGCTGCTACTGTATAGATTCTAGTGCACAGACACCAGCAGAAGATGTGGAGCTGAGCATTGCTAAAGAAAAAAAGATTATTTATGAGATTGGAAATGTCC